ATCAGAAGCTATTACACCTCACAGGATGTTATTGAAAGATAATTCTTTTTGAATATCATGAAAAAATATATCTATACAATATCTCAACGAACTATTGGAACACTTGCAATTATCCTGTACCAGCTTATCTATACTCTACACATTCGTCTCTATTTTACACTATATTAAAAAAATGCAAATTCGAACTTTACAATAATTCAAAAGATATGAAATACTGCAACATTGATGGTCTTTAGAAAACTAAATCTTCTAATATCTGTAAATTTTGCTAAAATAAATTTTTAAGTTCAAATGCACCATTTGAAAGAGCCCCAAAAGTTCAATATGTACGTTTATTATTAATGTTGATTAAGTTGTATATCAAAGAAAAAAACAAATAAATCGTTTGTTCCTGACTCATAGTCAATACTCAGAGGACATAACTATTGGAAGTATCATTACTTTCAAGAATCATATAAAGAAAAACTCACTACAATTTTATTTCTAATAATTTCATATGATGGAACAAGATATTTGTATTGTAGAGAATTTTTCTTAATATAACTTTGAAAATCAACAAAAATTTCCAATACTTACAGTATGTTCTCCAGATATTGTCTATAAGTCAAGAACAAAAGACTAATTGGTTTTGTCATAGGTATGTACCTTAATCAACATTAATAAATAAACTACACACTGAGTTTTAGACGTTCTTTTAATTGATATTTTTCAAGTTGAAAATTGTTTTAGCAAAATTTCTAAAACTTTATTAAAAGATACGGTTTTCTAATGACCACGAGAAGGTTCTCTTTCGAATATCCTCAAAGAGTAACGCATGTGTAAAATTGTAGAGAAACTAGAATATGATAAATGCAAATATTCCAACAATTTATTGTGCAATTGAAAATTGATGTTCATCTTTCTTGTCTCTTCTGTGAACACTACATCAACAAATCACATGATGATTGTCATATTTCAAGAAACAAAGATCAAAAAATGCAATAACACCTATTCAACAGTAGCAGCTGATCGTAAGGAAAACTGTAGGTGATTAGATACGTAGTAGCACAATATTTTCTCGCAGCTAGTGTTAAAAAATCCGAGATAATCAACTTTCAGAAAATGGTCGCCCAATTCAATTAATCTTCATTTTTTCATACTGCTTTAGCCATCATAATAAATAAATTCGTTTGGATTTTCTAAAACATGACTATTAATCTATTTTCAGCTACACGGTGGCTCAAGAGTCACTATGCTGAGAAATATTGAATTTATTCATCCAAATTTAATTGAATCAGTTGATTCTTTCCCACTGATGACAAGTATCTAATGGTCTGTTAATCTATCTCTGAAGTACTCCGTAAATATTTTCGAATACGTTGAAAGCATACTAAAAACAATGTATTTCAAATCAATGATTCTTCTACTTGTTTCTCTTTAGATTACTTGGATGCTCATCATAAGTTGTAGGCACAGCTTCATGCATTAGATATATTCTTTCATCCGAAGCCGGCGCCACAGGTGGTATTGGTTTGGTTAAATCGGATCTTTGTTGATTTTTTAGTTGTACCTAATTACTACCGAAGCAAATATTTCGATTGTTTCACAAGTAATTTCATGTACAATTTTCAATCGGAAAGAGATCTAAGATGAAACAGAATATGTGAAATCAAGAATCAAAACAAAGTACTCCTACAATAGCCGAGCATGTGTTAGCTTATGATTGAACAACATTTTCATCGTGATGACTGTGCACTATAATCAATATATGATTGTCTTGCAATCAAAGGCTAATTGATTGAAAAACAAAAAAAGCAAAAGAGAAAAGGAGCAACGCATGTTATTTTGCTTAACTTCAAGCTATACAGTCATCGTCAAGACACATGGATCCTTCTCTTCCCTTGAGTGCATTCTTCTCCACGTTTCTTATTCCTATAAGAGATTGTCGGCAAGAATGATCAATTCTGACCACATTCAACATAGTCAAATTCAACGAAAATTAACTTGATCATCAATGAGAAAGCTAAGCACGAGCTTTGAAAGAATGGCATTTTGCTGATCAGGATCATCTGTGTTAAAACCTTTCATGAAAGATTCGAAGAATCATTCATGTTTACTCACTGATGACAATTCCAAGAAACAGACTCTCAGTGATTTCCTCACTCATCTCAAGGAATGCAAAGTGAAATAAGCCAGAATGCTCATCAATGATAGTTCATCAGATGAGAATACTCCGAAAACCATCACTCAGTTGTCGATCGACCAATTTGCATACAACAAAACTGGATTGACCACACGTCTAGCTGCGAAACTCAAGGATTCGAAACTTAAATTCGTTAATGTCAGTACATAGTCTTCCACTGATCTAGATAATGGTGGCATGTTTGATCTTCTACAAGTTGGCGTTGGAATTGAAGCCAAAAACAAATTAGTGAATATCGAGGATGTCTTGAATGGTCATAAGACTTTTTATTAGCATGCGATGAATAAGTTTGACTCGTTTATCTACTGAATTCGTACTTTCATCAATGAATTCATCAAAGTACTTTCTGTAGTGACAACATGTGATTTATGATTAAATGAAATTGTCAAACATTCATAGCGCACAGTTTCATTGCATTCTGGTTCGACGACACAACCACCTCAATGGCAAACCTAAGACGGCTGAAAACATTTAGATAGAACTGTAGTAGATACTCCAACATTTTGGTCTTATCGACTTAAGAAGCACTTTTCCTGTACATGGCCCATCAAATGCATTGGGTGAAAGAATTCGCATTTTTTCACTTGCAAAAATTTAGTATAATATAATGGCAAATATATCCATTGGTTCTGTAGTACCTACTAAGATTAACCCTAACGATCAAATATGTAAGTAGTACACGTTCATAGCGTTTATATTTCGATGTTCAAGAGCTCATTGAGATGTTCCCAGCTGAGTTTATTAAATGTCATTATTTACTATCACTTTTTGGTTGATTTGATTGTTCATGCATGCTGTTTTATTTGTATCCTGTGATGTATTGTTAACTTATGCGTTATCCTGCCTTCTTTCATAACCATACATCGCTAATTACTTTATCCTTTGTCTTTTTTCTCATCATGTTGAATTTAACTTTATTTCTTATATAAGTGTGCAATATTAATGCGTTTATCACTTACCTCTCTCTTCATCAAATTCAGTTGGTTCTTCTTTTCAGTTCTTTCTATTTCATTTTTCCTCTTTTTCTCTCTTGTGTTCTACGTTTGATATATAGGAAATGTATGAAAGGAAATATTGATTCATTCAAAATAGTAAAGACAAAAATCGTTACACTCGTGACGACTCTCCGTAATTCGACTGAAAAAAACGTGGAATTTCTCATATTAATTCTATCTTTGTGATCGTTATTGCTAATCTAATGCAATAGTGCTTGCTAAATGTCAACGATATCTCGACATTTCAATATGTCATTTCAAATTATTACATGATGTAGAACTACATACGATCGAATAAAAATAATAAATCGATTATATTCGAAGTTTAAATCAATGTATTGAACAGTTCGAAGCAGAATTTTGGAGCATGAATCACTGAATTTTATTGGATCGCTTCCTATCCAGATCTATCATTCAAATATTTTATATTTGTCAACAAGTCAATATTTCTAGATAAACACAAAAAGGTTGTACGAAAAAAAGCTTCGATCTATTGCCGGCGAGTTTATTCGTTCGCTCAAATATTTCTATATGGCAATATTTGACTTGAACTTTAGAAGGAACCTACTGATCAAAGTTCTATGGCATGGTCACATATGCGATACATCAAGTTTTTGGAGAAGTACATAACACAAACCTACTAGATTGTTTCGTTTAAAAATAAATTTTATTTAAAAGCAATTATTTTTCACAAATAATTGACGAAAAAGGCTTGTTAGCGCGACCCCTTTAGCGTTGAAATGTGGAACTCACATATTTCATATAAACTAGAGTACTCAACGACTATGAAACTGGTTACTACGGTCTGTAATTGGGGTCTGTCAATAATGGAGGGCTGTCTGTAATGGGATCTCCATTGCTATGGTCTGTAATGGGAAGTGATAGGTGGAAGAAGCGCCAAAACTTCGACTTAAAACTTACACTCACTATTTTCTTCGAAAATATATGCGAGTTTCACAAAACAGTCTGAGTTACGATATTGAGCTTGATAAAAGTTCTCTATTGATGAGACTTGCCAATTGCTGTACATATGGTTCAAAATTAACAGAGAGATGATCACCATCGACATGAAAAAGTTTAAATTGATTTCGAGGAACTGCTTGTGACCAAGTTCGATATGGTTCGACGGGATCATGCGGTAGTGGTGACTTCACTTGGATATAATTGACTTCTGTCAATCGACTTTTCAACGGTTCAACAGTATAGTCGTCGATAGCGCGCATGTTTCGTCCAAAAATATGCATGTACTGACAAAGTTCACGGAATTCAGTATCTAAATCAACAGCATTACTGGATAAAATGTTTTTATCGATACAGAACCGCTTTAACTCCTCTTCATCTTTCATACATTCATGTTCGGCTTGAGCGAGAGAAAAATTGTACTTCGTTCCAAACATAGCCCAGAGAACAATTGCTCTTACATTTTTATTATTATTAGAAGTTGTATCATCAAGATGTATACGCAAGGATTCTTTCGTCGGTGTATCGATCATGAATAGTCGACTAATATGAACACTTGTTGATGACAATGTGCTCAACTGCTGACTCATTTCATAACCTATCATACCACCAAAGGATGTGCCAAGAAGAATATACGATGTTGCTTCAGGTTGTATGCTACGCATAACTTCGATATAGTAGGATGCTAAGTTAGCGACTGAATCCTCACAATGTTCAGAGGATAATGACGGCGATATATCAGGATATTTTAGAGCTAGAACAGTAATCGATGTATTTAGATACTTGCATAAATCTCTATAGATGAAGCAGGTACCGCCAGTCGGAGCGATAGCAAAGATTGGTGCTTGCGACGAACAAGTGCCTTTTTTCATTACAATAATTTGATCATCCTGGTATGATAGATGAAGTAGAGAAGACAATTGAGCCATTTTAACTTCTGGTGCTGTCTGCAGAATTTTTTTATGTTTGATTTGTTCGATGCGCGCTGCAAGTTGCTCAAGGACTGGCATCTCTGTTAAATCTTTGTTCGTCAGTTTGACATTGAATAGGTGGTTGATGCGACTAATTAGAATTATGGCTGTGTGACTATCGCCACCTGATGCGAAAAAGTCACTATGCTTATTTGTCAACACATCGCCGGTCACTGAAACAAAGATATCAATAAGTTGTGTTATTAGAGAAGACGAGTTCATCATAGGTTGAATAGTTTCATGCTGTTTGATTTCATCGGCATCAACAGTTGACATTGATGGTTGTTTTGTGATGTTCTCTTTAAGTTGATGCAGTGATGGTGCATCGATCCAATGGCGTTGCCTGTTAAAGACTTGACCTGGCATGGAAATAAATGATGCATTATTATAAACACTTGATGATCCACTGAAGGAATTGTAAACTGATTGAAAATCAATGTCTTCGAGACCATGACACCAGCAAGTACTCAGCGCTTGTTTTATTGAGAGTTCGACATTAGTAGTGTCTGTTGATGCTGATGGAAGAACTAATGATGATTCTGCTTTAACACTGGCTTTGGTCACATTGGTCAGTATGTTGTTAAGAGAACATTCAATATAGAGTGTTTTATTACTACGTTCTGTAGGTGACGAAGAGTTCTGTTGATCAAGCGTTTTTACTGCTTGATGCCAGAGTACTGTCTGTCGCATGTGACGACACCAATATTCAATATCAGGAACATAATCTTCATCCAACCAGTTGCCTGTAACTGTACTGATAAAAGGAATCTTCGGCGCACGTGCTTGAATATTAAGATCTTTGTAAGCTTGTCGAAATGTATCGAGTAGCAACGGGGTGATCATATGACTGTGAAACGGAAATGTGTGTTCCAGTTGTTTGAATTTATACTTTAACTTGTCTAAGGTTGATTTCAATTCATTGATTGCTTTAATATCTCCGGCGAATACACATTGCATGGGCCCATTTACAGCAGCGATAGACAGTCGATCATGGATCACATACTTGATGGCGTCGTCGTAGCTAATTCGCACTGCGAGCAAAGCACCTGACTTTTTAAGGTTAGACTGTTGATTTATGAGACATGTTCGAATGAAGACAAGTTTTAGTGCTTCTTCGAGTGTAAATACACTTGTTATTGTGGCGACAACATACTCACCAATACTGTGACCGAGGAAAACATACGGTGGATGTATTATGCTAGACCAAAGGGTGATTAATCCGAATTCAACTATGAATGTCGTCAGACCCATCCAAATTTGCCATTCTTGATTCATCAACTTATCATCATCAGCAGCCATTAATATATCGATCATGTTCGGACTATTTGAATCATAATCTTTTAAAATCGTCGCACACATATCATATGCTTTTCTGAATACATCACTTGTTAAATACAGTTGTCGTATTAATGTTCGTGAACAGTTATGTTGTCCTGGAAATATGAAGACGAACCGATCTATCTCTTGCGATGGTAGAAGTCCATCAGTAGATAGCTGACTCAAAGTGTCAATGAGGACTGAAAGAGATGATGAATCCAATGTTGCAGCCAAACGAAACTCGTAGACAGAACGACCCTTATTCAATGTATAGCAGATATTCGCCAATTTAGCTGGCTCTTTACTGTTATTTTGATTTTTGAGCCAATTGATGAGCTCTCGTAGATAGGCTTGTAACGACTCGGGATTTTTGCTGGATAAAGTAACTTGATGTACTGCATTCTTGGACGAATCGTATGAATTATTGGATGACAACTTTGGACAGTATTCTTGCAATATGGCGTGTGCATTTGTTCCTCCCATGCCTAGACTAGAGACGCCTGCGAGAAGTGGTCCATGTTCGAAACGGGCAGTTTTCAATGAAATATCGGTCGATCGAACAACAAAAGGTGTTGAAGAAAAATCAATATTTGGATTGGCAATTCGATAGTTCAGTGTGGCAGGTATACAACGATGTTGTAAGATCAGCGCAGTCTTAATCAAACCGACAAGACCAGCAGCTATGTCTGTATGTCCAACATTAGATTTGACACTACCCAAGACACAGTATTGTCGTTGAAAAGTGTCAAACGCCAGTGTAAGCCCCTCGACTTCAATTGGATCACCTACTGCTGTACCAGTACCATGTCCTTCGACGTAAACTATATCAGTAGCATTGACATTGGCTTCTGTCAATGCTCCGCGAATGCATTCAGCTTGAGCGATTGCATTTGGTGCAGCAAAGCTCGCTGCTCCGCGTACACTTCCATTGTTGTTGACAGCACAGCTTTTGATCAGCGCACGAATGTTATGACGGTGTACAACAGCTCTACTAGCGAGTTTGAGTACGACGGCGGAAACTGAATCACCAAGAACGATTCCATTGGCCGATGCATCAAACGGAGCACATTGACCGATCGGACTATAGATACTACCTGGCTCATAGAGATAACCACTTGTCGGCAAATGAATACAGCTTGTGCCAACAATGGCTACTGTGCAACGTCCTAATCGCAGATGGTCAATAGCCACCTGTAGTGCGACAAGACCCGAAGAACAAGCCGTTTGTACGTTAATAGCAGCACCCGTGAGATCAAGATAATACGCGAGCTTAGTAGCCATGGTGCCCATCATATTATTCAGACGCATTTGTCGTTCTACGGTAGGTTGTTTATCACTGGAGTCATGCAAATGTTGCAGATTGAACAGATAGTAACTACTATCACTTGCAGCAATAAAACAGCCTATCGTCTCATCCGGCGATTGTAAATTGACGGCAGCATCTTCGCAAGCTCGATAGACAACTTCGACCAGCAAGCGATGTTGAGGGTCCGTGAGTGAAGCTTCACGAGGCGATATACCAAAAAATGCATGATCGAAGAGATCAATGCCACATGTTAATCGACCCGTGCGGCGTACATAACGCGGATTTTTTAGCAGTTCCTCGGGAACATAACTACGGAGCTCGTCATCAGATAATGTTACTATGCCCGAACGACCTTCCTTAAGCATTGACCAAAATTCGTCGATATTATTGCAACCAGGAAATACCCCGGCCATACCGATAATCGCACAGTCGTTTGCATCAAATCCCTAGTTTAAAAAAAATAGATTAAATGAAATCTTTCAATAATGATTGAACTAATTCATTTGTGTAACAAGAGATCAATAGTGGTTCATTTTTTATACATTGTTTAGATTAGTATTGAATAAATTATTTTCATTACGTCAAATGTCAGAGTAGGAGAGAAAAAAATCTCTTTAGCCCTAACAATCCTCACCAAGACCTGCTATTTTCTATTCTACGAACTTTTTTCATGATAGTCGAGTACACTCTAAAAAAAATAAGTATCCTAGAAAACCTTTAGAGGGTTTCCGAATTTGCTAATATAGGAAATCCTTTAAGGGTTTCTGAAGAAGGGTTTCCAAGACCTCGGAAACCCATAATTTCCATCATATCGAAACCTCAAATACTCATTCGGAAGCCCAAAACAAAGCTTTCCGAATGGAAAAAAGCTGTAGCTAGCTACTCAGAAAAAAGGTGTCATACTGAACCTTTTAACGTTCTAGATTTGGGTACCATTTTCCGAGCCATTTAAGGTTTAATCAAAAACTGGTTCTAGCTGGAACCTTTCCCTTTTTCTTCCAAAAATGGTTCTAGAGTAGTAAAACGTAGTCCGCCACACTCAATTACTCTAGTACTGGCGAGTACTGCTATAACCAACCGTTAATTTCATATTTAACCCTTTATTTCTATCTGTAAACCTTAATTCTATCCTTAACCCTTAAATCTATCCTTAACCCCAATTCCTATCCTTAACTCTTAAACCTATCTTTAACCCTTAAACCTATCCTTAATCCTTAAACCTATCCTTAACCCCAATTCCTATCCTTAACCCTTAAAACTATCCCTAACCCTTATTTCTATGTGTTATATTTACCTACAGAGTGTCCCAAAAGTCCCCAACAAAACCTGCACAGGTTCATGAATCCGACAATGGGATCTGATCGGAGCCGGCCAGATCCCACAGCATTCTGATCGAATCCCCCCCGTATCTTATAAGGATCCGATAGGAATACATCGAATGCTCGGGTTAAGTAATCCGACTCGGATCCCCAGGGTCGAAATCGATGATGGCGGATTCGGATTTCTGGACCTCAATAACCTATTTCAAACTTTGATCAGAATTCAGATCGGAGTTGAAATAAAAAGTGTAACTTTGCAGCCGTCGAATTTTTGATGGACCCAATTTCTGAGCAATGGGAGCTCGGATGGAAAAAATGATGACGGATTCGGATTCCTAGACCTCGATAACCTATTTCAGATTTACATTAGTTAAATCATGTTCAGAAAATATCGCATCTTGGTTTTAGCCAGAACCATTTTGGAAAAATGATTCAGCGTAAAAAAAATAGTGCAAGACAGAACCCTTTCAAACACCCGGAACTATGCATGATCTGAAATGGTTCTTTAAAGTCACTAGAACCCTCGATGGTTTATTAATAAACGAATAAAACCTTGAAAGGTTCAGTATCTTCGGTAGAAGCATTCTTGAGTCCAAATGGTTCAGTATGACGCCTTTTTTTCGAGAGTACGAAATGTTTAAATCATCGGGAACTCTTTAAAATGTTCAATGAAAGTTCGGACTCCTATTTTAGTTGAGTGTGACACCATTTTCAATTTAGGTATTTTCGTAAACCCATTTTGGATTCTTATGATACCCTTTTGAAATTGGGTTTTTTCGGAAACCGTTCAGGAAATGAAAAGGTACTTTCGCATACCCTTTCGGATACTAACTCAGTTTTTCTTCTAATATGGGTTTTCGACAATACCTTTCCAGTTTCCGAGACAACATTTGGGTTTCTGACAGCAAGAAAAAGGTATCCTAGAATACTTTTAGAGTGTGCAATTGGGAAGTGTAGGAAACCTCTAGGTTTCCGAACGTTCGGAAACCGAAAGGGTATTTTTAGAAACGCTTTCACTGTTCTGAAACCCTCTCGGAAACGGATAAGGGTTTCCGAGTGGGTTTCCGAACCCCTTTCGGTTTTCTAGGATACGGAAATTTTTTAGAGTGTAGTTCATACAATCAGCTACTAAACAATTATCAATAAAAAGCATGTTTCGAAGCTCTACCTCTTTAATAATAGAGCTTATACGATGCCAACGTTTGATTAAAATTTCTTGATCTCTTTTGCAATCAACTCTGCTTCGTAATGAATGTATAGAAAAGTAAAAAATATCATAACTAATCATTGTGTGCACGAGAGGAAGCTGAAAACACGTCTTCTTTTAATGAATCAACTCTGAGTTTTTATCTATTTTTTTCTTTTATCAATAATGGTTTCTCTTATGAATCAAGATTTCTAATGCGTTGTTCGAACAATTATCAAACAACTTGTCAAAAGTCTGTATCTCTTTCTATTTTTCACTTGTCATTTCACATTACGACTAAGATAGCAAGCTAGCAACATGACATCTTCAATTCTTCTATTACGATTGAACTTGATGAGACTAGTGTAAATCTACAAGGATACTATGCCATGCACTATCCTTACCAAGTAATGACTGTTTAACTAGGATTTTTGGTGGATCTCTGACTAAATATTTCATGTTGAAATCAACTATGAAATTTTGACCTGAAATTTCAAGGCGAAAAATTTCATACTTAGTTGAGGTTAGTATCAAATGATTTACATGAGAAATAAGACTTCTAAAACAAAATCCAAACATATGATTTCCAAGTAAATCGCAGTTCGAATTAGGCTTTTCTAGAAGCTTGGCCTTGTTTTCCAAATAAACGACATAGTGAAAAAAAAATGGACGAAATGTACAACTTTGTTTATTAGAGTTTTAGTCTAAGATAAGGGAAACAACTTTTCCTTAGCATAAGCATCCGAAGATTTTACTATACTCTTTGTTACATATAAGCTGAAGTATTTCAATTATTTAAAAGTCAAGAGAAAGTCAAAGTCGAAACAGTTCGTTGCAAAAAAAATTGTTCATCTCAATAAGCTTTGGTAATATCAAAAAATTTTCAAGGATTGCTAGGCATGCATGTATATTGTGTTAATTATTAGTAGTTAAAAATTTGATTTTTCGATTAAGACTTTAGTCTAATTAGTATGTTGAATTTTAACCATTTTCAGATTGTGAGAAAATATGCTGTACTACTGTTCTATCAAAAATTCTCTTTTCAAAAAGGGACTTGTACTTACTTGAGAGAGATATTGCGATTCATCATTGATCAAGAAACCATGTCCGAAGGAAGATTTTCTTCTTTGCATTAAAATTGCTGTTTCGTTTATTATTTTCTGAATACAAAAAAAAACATAAGACAATTAGAATCTATTTCAATTCATTCTTTGGAAAAAGGCAAGATGTATTAAATGGATCATGAGAAAGCACTAGGAATATAATACAATCGAAAGTCTTTTCGATTTAATACATATAGGCTGCTTCGCGATCTCTAGAAAAAGGGATTTGAACAAATGATTTTTGAAGTTTTTTCAACATGACTATGAATATAGCGTGAAAAATGATGGTTGGATGACCTAGCATATACTAACCTGTGGGAAGTTCCATGGGCCACTGTTCAGAGCCAGGCAGGATGCGGTTGATGACCTTCGCATTATTGATTTCATTGTTCCAAAGACCGGTGAATGAGCAGTTCGTAAAGCTTTGATATGCGCTCGTAATCGACGCTTATTGACGCATATTAGACGATCTTTTTGTATAGTCAAACTCTTTTTAAGGCTATTTTCAATCAGAACAACTTGAGAACGAATGGTAGTAGTGTTGAACCATTTGTCAATAGGTGGTTGAAGTGCGGATGATCGGCCGGCAAAAAACTGTTTTTGAATAGATCCAATAAGCTTCAAAAATAGTAATGCATTACCACCAACATCAAAGAACGATTCTTCAGGATCCACAAAATCGAGCTGCAACAAGAAGCACCATATCTCGTGGACCTTTCGTTGGACAGTCTGCTGATATTTCTCAGGTTTACTTTTAGATTTTGGAAGCTCGTCTATTTTAAGTTTGACCAGGTCATCACGATTAATTTTTCCGTTATGTGTTAGAGGTAATCGATCAAGAGTAACGAAATAAGTTGGACAGATGTACGATGGGAACGAAATATTGACGTGTTGTTTAAGTTTAACCAGATCGACTGATTTAGGCGTCACATAAGCACGCAAGTAGATTTGCTTATTGTCTTTCGTATTTTCGGCATTATTGTGAACTATAACTGCCGCTTCTTCAGGTGAAGATTGCGTATTATGCGACTTTCTCAGCCCGAGTATACACTGCTCAATCTCGCCGAGCTCTATCCGATTACCATGATATTTAAACTGAGTATCATGACGGCCCAAGTACTCGAACTGTCCATCGCTCTGCCAGCGTGCTAAATCACCCGTATCAAAGATAATACTACCATCGTAACGATGAAAAATATTTTCGAGAAATTTTATTTTAGTTAGGTCATCACGGTTTCGATAGCCACGAGCTGGCGCACATCCACCAATCCACAATCTACCAACAACTCCAATAAAAACTGGGCTCATTCGATCATCAATTATATAACACAAAGTGTTTGGTAGAGGACGACCGATCATAACGCGTGTCTGATTCGGTAAAAGGCGGGCTATGTGAGTATAAATTGATGTTTCTGTTGATCCGTACAAATTATACGTAGGCACATGACTAGACCACAGCTCGGCCACATGTAGCGGGCAAGTTTCGCCACTGATATATGCAACACGTACGGGTGGTACAACCTCGCTAGGATTGATTCTATTGAACAAACTGGCACTCAATTCGAGTACACTGACTTGATGTCGTTGAACAACGTCAATAATATCACGAACGTCATCAACAGTAAAATTAATATTGATAAGAATGACGCAAGCACCCTGGCTTAATGAGCGAAACAATTGTGCAACACTATGATCGAAGCTAAGCGATGCCACCTGTAGCATCTTGTCTTTGGGTTTCAAAGGACTCTCATCTTGTAAGCATAAAATAGCGTTAACACTACCACTATGATTTACTTCCACCCATT